GTGGTTGCAGTCCTCCTGCCTTTTTGTGAGGCTCCGTGGCCTCTGGCTATCATTGTATGTGGACTGGAAAACCCAGAGATGGAGCCAAAATACAACTTGCTAAGCAGAGGAAGAACAGGAAATTAAATCTCTGCCATGGCCAGAAGTCACACAGGACTCCTGACAGATGACCAGAAATGGCTCTCTGGCTTCTGAGCAGGTTGTGTGTATGTGGCCCCAAATTAAACATCATGTTTGGGGTGGGGGTGGGGAGATGCAGCTGCAGATATGGGACAAGAATACCAACTGCCACTGATTTAAATGGGGGTAGATTCTGCCACTCTTACAGTGAGCAGTTCCACTGATGTAGTCTACTCATAAAATAAGATACTACTCAATGTGATAAAAGAGTATAGCATCTGGCCCAATGAGAGAAGAATTGGGCCCAAGCTAATATTTTGGGGTGGGGTGGGGAAGGTATTGAAAAAAGGCTGCTGAAAAGTAATGATTATAGAATAATGATATATCACAGCTTTGTTTATATGAGACACCCACTGAAACTCCTAATTGTTTCATTCATCTATACTTAAGGTTTTAAATTTTGTATTTGTAGTATTAGAGTTGTTAATCTGTTTTTGCTCTGGAGCTGAGCACTAAAAGGACTCAGTTCATCCATACAGCTGGGTAAAGCATACCACACACCGGCATGCAGGAGTGAATCATCTTTCCAGTCAGCCTGTTGAATGCTAGATAGTTTTAATAGTCCTTTTGCCCACAACGAGCAGGACCAGTCATACCAAACATCTAGGTGTTGCCTTGGAAAAATAATGAGGTTCCTGAGGCTGGATCCGTGGCATAAACAAAGCTATCATAAAACAAAGGACAGTCATTAAAGTTAATACTTCCTGGGAGATCAGAAGATATCATACAATGTCATTAACACTATTAAAACTATTCTTTGGGGACTCGTGAATATATTGCTAAAATACATGGGGACATAGGGACCTGATTCTCATTTCCCCGCTATGTTGCTTTGGTGCTGCACAGAGTATCAAGTTGGTGTAAGTTGTGCTGATGCAAGTCGCTTCTTACACCTGTGCAGCACATCTACCCTAGGGGTCTGTACCAGTCCATGTTCGCATAGGTACATTGGTGCAAAAAAGGCAGGGTAGGCAGGCCTTGGGTTACTTTGACTTACCAACTTTTATTCTCAAGGCACTTGTTTTATGTGTTCTGTGAAAAGTTAGCATGTGCATACACTGGTGATTTGTATATCCTAAACTAACAACTCATGAACCAAAACACCAGAACGAGAGCCTCTCCCTCCCCGAAACAAGAGGAATGCTCAGATCTGGATCCAAATTTTGCAGATTAGACCTGTGTATACTGCCGTGTTCATGAAAAAATGCCACAGAGTAATTCTTTCATACTCTCAAACAATAGCACACCAACTCTTGTCTCCATGTCCTTCACGTGATGACACAGCAGTGTCCACTAATAGGTAAACTTATACTGTCCTACTGCAGTTGTTAATATAGAAAAAAGGAAACCTAGCTATCTATTGTACAAAGAGAATTAAAATTGAATGGGGAAAGTTGTAGAATCAACCTAATCATAGAATAAAGTCTTCATGTAGTTCATGGACATTCTGACTCTCTCGCTGAATTATCTACCATGTATCAAATTCCACATATAATACCTGCAGAGTCTGTAGTTTTTAGATCAGCAATTGATTCGTATTTTTATCCCTATAGCATACTTCAAAGCTTTCTGAGAGGGTACAATACTATTTGGCCCTGATTCTCCATTGCTTTATACATTGTGTAGTCATATACCTGAGTGGTGGGGAGTCTAAAGTGGATGTAAAATGCTACCAAACCAGAATGGTAGCATTTTACTCTCACATTGCCCAGGTATAAATGACTGACTACACAATGGACTAAATCCTCAGTTGTGCCAAAGGAAGGAAAGGCTCTTAAAGCCACCCTCCCTGATCTAGGGGAGCCATTTTGGCCCTTGTGTAACTTAGAGCAGCCTAAGGATTGCTCTAAGTTACAGTGGTAGCAAGTGATCCTATAGGGAGAGCTATTCCAGCTGACAACTGGGCAGAACGCCATGTGCTCCAGCCCCATCTCAGCTATGCCCTGGCCTGCCTCTCCTGTGCTACACCTCTGTTTATAAGTGGTCCTTTGGAGGTACCCATGAACTCTGCCCAGCGAGTCCAACTGAGATAGACTCCTGTTCAGAGAGTTTTTGCCCTCTTCAAGGATCAAAGCACCTCAGGAAGTATTCGCAGTGACACCAGGCAGCCTTTTCAAAATGGAGTAGGGATTATTAGTCAACTGGTGTTGACCCACTGGATGACTATTCTAGCCAATCTTCCGCTATACTGCCTAGTTTGTGTGACCTCCCCAGTGGCTAGTAGGGCCCCCGGGCTGAAAAAGTAGTGGTCAAACCCAGGTTCTCCTACTAGCCATTGGGGAAGTGGCACAGACAAGGCAGCGGAGCAGAAGACTGCCTAGGACAGTTGTTCAGTGGGACTTTGGTACCCTGGAAGGGGAGGACTATAGTGAATTGCCTGGAAGGCCAAGCCATGAAAAGAGAGCACCCTGAATCACACAGAGAGGGGCTTTCGTCTGGCAGCAGGGCACGTGAACCACTGACAGAAGAAGATGCCAGATTGGCAAAGAGCTAATCGCCAGAGCAGCCAAGAGGAGGCAAGAGTGAGTGTTTCCTGTGACAAGACTAAGGATTAAGACCAATATGTACATCAATGGAAAATCAGGCCTCCCAAGTCTTTCTTGTGCTGCTCCCAGCCAACCACTAAACAGGCTCTATACTGCTAGCTCCAGCTGAGATGATTGCAGGTATACATTTTCACGGTACACTTTTCAGACACTAATTTTTGGATGTCATTCCACTTTGTTCTCGAGAGAGGATAAACAAGGTAACTGAAGAGATAACTTATGCTTTTAGGGACTTTGTTCAAGAGGAATGGAGTACAGAAAGGTTAAATACAAGGAAGCATATATCATTGGCTGATGGTGTTCAAAACTGTGTGAATAATTACTTATAATTACATTGTTTGTGTTCTACATTCTTCCCTCTCTCAATAATTTCTTCTTGCTGTTGCTGTGGCTGAGACAAATCAGTGAAGCAGACTTCCTTATACTAGTCACAAGGTATTGAAAATAAAATCTAATTGCCACATTTCCATTCATCTAAATGTGCATTTCAGACTCCCTGATCCCATCCTAGTGCAGGAAAATTAGTCTAAAATGATTACATGAACACAAGACTGAACCCCACCCCCATGTTATTGTACAAAAAAGAATGCTGAGTGACTCTGAGTTGCATCAAATCTGTACAGCAAAAATACTGTTGCTGCAGGGTAGGCAGTGGAACACAATAGTGATGTAGAAGTACTGAAGTGCCAAGGGAGAGTTGATAGTTATGGGTTAAGTAAACAGCAAATCCATTACTAAGTTTTCCAGGATGGTGCAGGAGTGGATGGTGCAAACCTAACAAGATATTTACATGGAGTTATAGTATGTTCCTCTGATGCAACAAGCAAATGCCCTTTAACATAAAATGAGTGGAATGAGGAAACCTGAAGGCAATTAGGAATGACATTTGGAACTTGGCAGCTGTGGAATGATAGTAGGGAATGCTATTTGGGATCGGCAGTTGGGAAAGGCAGTTGGAACCAGGCAGTTGCAATAAAACTGTTGGGATTAGTAGTTAAGAAATGATAGGATGAGGATTTGGAGTATGACAGCTGGGATGAGCATGGCAGTGACGTGAAGAAAGAAAAAGAGAGAAAACAATAGAAGAAAGAGCAGAGGAAGGAAAAAATGGACCGTGAAAATCCTCTGGCAGATAAGCACAGGTTTTGGTAATTCTCTCTCACTGCATTGAGTGTATGAAAAATTTTAATTGGCGTCTGAGCCATCTTTGGTTAAAATCTAAAAATAAGAACTATTTCTATTCCCTCTCCCCACTGCAACAATGTCCCAACACTCTGGTGGTGCAAAAGTGCAGGAAAACTGTTTAAATAACCGTTGTTGGGACAGTGATCAATGGTAGCAAAAGTACCTTGTGCCCTAGCAATCCCTGCTGCTGGGGATTGTTGTTATCAGCAGATGAAGGACAGAGCAGCCCTTGTATGTCCCCAGGATTTGAGGGAGGGCATGCATGGAGGTACCTCATTTCCTGCAGGTGAGGGACAGAGGGAGAAAGAAAGAGGTAGGAGGCTGAACTCAAAGACTATGTTTGTTGATGATGAGAGTGTGGGTGGGATTCTTCACACCAGCACTTTGCATTGGAGCCTCCTGTGATTTTCTCTTGGTTCTGTTAAGTTTACAGCCTGCCTTATGAAGGAGCTCCAACTTACAAGACCATCATAATGGTCCCTTATGGCCTTAAAGTCTTTGAAGCCCTTACATAAGCCAGCACCATACTGGGAGCTCTCCAGGACATGGGGAACAGGGGCTGATATAACCAAGACAGAAGGAGGGTTAGGACCATGGGACCAATGGAGATTTCACGGCAGTGAATTTTACAAGTACAAGGGAAGGAAGGCTGGCTGATGATTTAGTTGGGGATTGGTCCTGCTTTGAGCAGGGGTTTGGACTAGATGACCTCCTGAGGTCTCTTCCAGCCCTGATATTCTATGATTCTGTGATCCAAGCCAAATACTCCAGCTCCCGGTTTAGAGGCAGCTCCCCAAGTGCTGAGGGCTGGAGGCTCCAGGTCGGGGGTAGGAGCAAGATCCGGCGCCGGGTTTTGCTGCAGCCGCGCAGTGCTGAGGGCTGGATGGAGGCGCCGAGTCAGGGGGGCATGATCCGGCGCCGGGTTTTGCTGCAGCCGCGCAGTGCCGAGGGCTGGATGGAGGCGCCGAGTCAGGGGGCGGGATCCGGCGCCGGGTTTTGCTGCAGCCGCGCAGTGCCGAGGGCTGGATGGAGGCGCCGAGTCAGGGGGCGGGATCCGGCGCCGGGTTTTGCTGCGGGCGGGGCCTGGCTCTGGATCGGGAAGTTGCTGAAGTTGGCGAGTGAGTGTCCGGGCCCCGCGTCGGCTCCGGCTTCTTCCTGCTGCCCGGTCGGTGCATGATGGAAGCAGCATGGCCTCCCATCTCTCCCTGACCCAGGTAACTGCCTCCGGCCCGGCCGCTCGGGACTCGCCCTGCCGAGCCACGGGGTCCCGCCCCTGCGGGGTCCGAGGCCTGCAGTGCCCCTCGCGGCGGGGGGAGCGGGGCTCCCCGGCCTGGAGTGTCACCAGGGGCTGGTGGTGGCGGCGCCCTGACCTGCCTCCCGCTCCGCGTGGAGAGGTGCTGAGTCCTTCGGCCCCCTGTGCCGGTAACCCCTGGCCCCGTGCCGTGCGCTCCCCCGGTAATCCCCGTCCTGCCGTGCCCCCCCCCCCCGGTACCCCCCGTCCCCCCGCGTCCTCCGGTAGCCTCTGCGCCCACCCCTCCTGGTAATCCTCCGGGTACCCCCGTGCCCGCCACGCCCTCCGGTAACCCTCTCCCGGTAACCCCTGAGCCCGCTCCTCCCGGTAACCCCCGTCCCACCGCGCCCTCCGGTAGCCTCTGCGCCCGTCCCTCCCGGTAATCCTCCGGGTACCCCCGTGCCCGCCACGCCCTCCGGTAACCCTCTCCCGGTAACCCTTAGTAGCCCCCGTCCCTCCCGGTAACCCCCGTCCCACCACGCCCTCCGGACCCCCCTCCGCCCGCCCCCCCCCGTCCCCCCAGTCCCCCCGCGCTCTCCGGTACCCCCCGCGCCCCCCTGCGCCCGTCCCTCCCGGTAACCCCAGTCCCACCGCGCCCTCCGGTAACCCCTGCGCCCGCCCCTCCCGGTAACCTCAGTCCCACCGCGCTCTCCGGTAACCCCTGCGCCCCTCTCCGCCCGTACCCCCCGGTAACCCCAGTCCCACCGCGCCCTCCGGTAGCCCCTGCGCCCGTTCCTCCCGGTAACCCCTAATAACCCCAGTCCCACCACGTCCTCCGGTAACCCCAGTCCCACCGTGCCCTCTGGTAGCCCCTGCGCCCATCCCTTCCGGTAATCCCTGTCCCACCGTGCCCTCCGGTAACCCCTGGCACCGTGCCGTGCTCCCCTCCCCCCCCAGTAACCCCCGTCCTGCCATGCTCTCCCGGTAACCCATGTCGTCTTTCTCCTGCCCTGTTGCACCCCCGCCCCATCTCTGTAACCCCTGTGCTGTGCCTTGCGCCCCGGTAACTCTTGCCTTAGTTCTGTGCCCCCTTAAAACTCGCATCCCTACTTTGTGCCCCCTTTAAAACTCCTTCATCCCTTCCCTTGTTCTATGCCCCCAATAATCTCCTCTCGCTGTGTTCCTGCATGATGCCCTTCTGTGTTCTCCTGAGGAGATGCCCCTCCCCATGTCCAGTACCTGGTGGTGCCGGGGAGGTGAATGGTGGACCACGCTGGCCCTCCCTGAAGCACTGCCCTAGATGTGGATTACACTGTGCAGTGGTGCATGGTCTAGTTTGCATTGATCTGGGCTGAGAGGATCTGTAGAGCAGTGGTTCTCAACCAGGGTTCCGGGGGTCCCTGGGAGGCTGTGAGTAGGCTTCAGGGGGTCCACCAAGCAGGGCCATCATTAGACTTGTTGAGGCCCAAGGCAGAAAGCCAAAGCCCGGGGCCCCAAATCCCACCAACCGGGGCTGAAGCTGTAGCCTTATCAGCTTAGCTTCACGGGGTCCCCCTATGGCATGGAGCCCTGAGGAGTTGTCCTGCTTGCTACCCCCTAACTCTGGTCCTGGCTTTAATATGCAGAAAAACAGTGGTGGCACAAGTGGGTCATGGAGTTTTTATAGGATTGGGGCCGGGGGGACTCAAAAAGAAAAAGGTTGAGAACCCCTGCTGTAGAGAATAAAGTTGAAGTGTTCAGCATTGGGAACAATAATAGGATGTGATGATGTATGTGATTGGGGGGGGATTTGTGTCTTCATCTGAAATGTGGAAAGTGATGACGATTTGATGAACTAAAGCTGTTCTCAGACTGGGTTATGATCCCGTTTTAATGGGGTCGCCAGGGCTGGAGTTAGACTTGCTGGGGTCCAGGGCCGAAGCTTGAGAACATGGGGGTGGGGAAAGGCTGTTCCTCATTGCAGGAGTCAGAGGGGTGGTGGCTCTTATACTGAAGTGACTCTACAGTAGCATACTCCCTTGAGTTATCACAGTTATCCATGTAGTTCAGTAATGAGAACCTGCGGCCCCTCAGACTGCTACATGGCATAAAATTAGACCTAGTGTATTGGTCTACAGGTGCCACTCCATGCATGTTGCTCAGTTCTTGGAAGTGGTAGGCTCTTAAAATCCATCTTGCTCGCAGAATTGTGGAGAGATGGTGTGACGGGCATATGTGTGCCTAAACCACAGAGAAGGTAGCAGTGCCCTGCCTTAATTCTTGGTGAGTTGTTTTCCTTTAGCAATATAACAGCAATAAACATATATTTAAGGTAGGCAAGAGACTTGGGTTGTAGCATTTCAACCTTTAAAAAAGGCTGCTCTTTGGCTTGTAAAAAGGAGCTCTCCAGGACATGGGGAACAGGGGCATGGAACATGTTCAGAATTAGCATTTTCCACTGATTTTCAAGGCATGTAACAACCCTTGATTCAATGGGGGAGGGGCAATGACTGGATCATATGGTTTAGGTAATTGTGCCTGACCTTTCAAGCATGGCCCGATCTCTTAAGCTGACCCCATTTATTAATTTCTTCTTCTTCTTTGTTTTCAAGCTATTCCAACTCCTCTCCAAGCAATTAGCAGGTAGCTTGAGAGTATTAGAGCTTTAAAGGGTGGTATAAAAGTATTGACATTAATAAGTTGAAATATCATGTTAAGTGTTCTTTAAATTCAGATAAGAACATGAGCATGTTACTGAAGAGTAAACTCTCTAGGGGGATTGACCTGAAAGCTTACTTCTTATGAACTATATTTTATTTACAAAGATAGCAAGATGATGTTGGACTGTTCACTTCAGAGTGAAATGGTTGAAAGCTGTTGTGCCTTTTGATCTGGGTATTTGGAGTGGTGGTATCTATGTTGTATACCAGTTGAATGTGGATAGTTAGAGGAGATAAAGGACTAACCTGATGAGAGCATTTGAGCTTTGAGAAGTTTGTCTAAACCCTGAAAGGTGCCAAACTTCTGACTAATGTTTTCATCTTCTAAATGTATTGCCTGAATACTGGTGAGGATTTCCAATATTTGGAAGCCCTTGTATGGAGTAATGAATACTGTTGAGACTCTTATTCCCTAGATTTCCTACTGAATAAGATATGTATTAGAACTACTTGGCTTCTCTTTATTTTGTCAGTGAAAAATTTATATTCTTGTAGTTCTTGTAATTCTGAAGCACACCTATTAGGGGTCAGACATGCTATTCAGTACACAGGATGCAGTTGTTTTGTTTAGCTAGGAGAGCTTTATAGTCTCTTATAAATGTTGTTTGTTCATTTCCCAGTGCTGAAAAATACCAACATGTGCTTAGAATTACTAGCCTTTTATTTTTTTTTTTTGGTCTGCTCATGTGTGCTTAGGGTAACAGAACTGCTCAGCTTTGTAGTTTTCTCACTCTGACTGCACAGTTGGATACTCATAGGAAGGAAAGCAAGTTCTGTCATGAAAGCAAGAGATTATGACGGATATGTTTGAATTCACTGGATGCTCACAGTTCAGTTATGTTGGGAAGCTGAAATCAAGTGTTGTAAAGTCACTAGAGAAGATGTGTAAATATCAAGTGAAACTGCCCTCCTGAAGTGTTGTTTTACTTTAAAATTTGATATATTTCAGGTACCAAAAAAGTTTACACGAAGAATGGAAACAGAAGAATTGTTCAGACGCTGACTTAAAAATGTCTCAAGGAAAGGTTATAAAAGAATAACTCCAGTTCTTGTGTGGCTGAAGGCATAGGGCCTTGTGGCTTTTGGCAAAAAAGAGACCTGGGTGTACATTATAGCCACATCATGTAGTGTGATCAGGACCGGCTCTGGCTTTTTTGCCGCCCTAGGCAAAAAAGCCTCCCGCCGCGCCCCCCCCCCCCCCCCCCCCCCGGCGGGGGGGGGGCCCGACCCCGCCCCCGGCCCCCCCCCCCCCCCCGCCGGGGCGCCGGGGGGGGGGGGCCGCGCCCGCCGCGGCGCCCCTGGCGGCCGGAGCCCCGGGAGGAGGGCGGCGAGCCCGGCCAGGGCCCCGCTCTCCCCGGCGGCCGGAGCGCCGGGGGGAGGGCGGCGAGCCCCTCCAGGTGCCGCCCCAAGCACAAGCTTGGTGGGCTGGTGCCTGGAGCCGGCCCTGAGTGTGATTGCTTACATAGTTCCTCTGTCCTTCTATAAATACAATGTGATCGTTTCGCTATAGAATTTATGTACTTCTAGTTATCAGGAAGTAAAATTGTGAATAGAAATGTGATGGATTATGAGAGGACTTTGGGGCTAACTTTTTTCAGGATTCTTGTATAGTATAAATAGCAGGTATAGGTTTACTCAGCTTAATTGTTGGCATCAGTTTTACTTGACAGTTTATTTTTGTTGTTTTTTTTGCATTAAACGAGGTTCTGAGTTCATCACATTTTTAAACTAGAACAAGTTTCTTCAATGCAGATTTAAACCTAGGAATTAGGATGTATACAAGAAGTGCTGACAGACCATAAACTATTGTATTGTTGTGAGGGCAATCCTATATATGAAATGCTACAATGTCATGGCTGAGTGTTTTTTTTTTTTTTTTTTTTTTTTTAAAACATCTTACATAAAGTTGCAGTGTAGTGGAATGAGACAAGTTAATTTTATACTGTAATGCAAAGAGAAACAAACTTTAATCTTTACTGGTAATGAAATAAGAGATCAAGAAACCAAAAAATATACAAAACACATCCAGTGTACATGAGAGAAGAATGGGGACAATATCTAGTTAATGTAAGTGTAATCCAGAGTCTCTATATATCTTAATTTCTCTCTTCTCTCCCCGCCCCGCAGATTGTGGTCAGTGTAACCGGGAAGTTGGATGTTCCCAAACTGAAACCAGGCTATTCTCAAATGGTTTAGCATCTGTAGCATCTCAGAGAGTTTTCCATCCTTGGTGTTAATAAAGTGCAGTTACAATATTTAAACAACATTTCCCAGCAATTAAATA